ATTGTTAATACTTTAGTTTGATTGTATAATATGTGTTAAAAACAATTGAACTTTTGTTGAAATCTTCCTATTTTTTATGTTACTAAATTAAAAATAAAAACTATTTGAAAGAAAAACACAACAGTTAATGTATGTTAATTTACTAACAAATATCAAATATCAAATATCAATATTGTTCAGTTAAACGACACTAATTAACGAAGATAGGTGGTAAGAGACGTCATATTTTCACATAATCAACATTCTTAACATCTATCTTCAATACTATCAATTTAATGTTCCAACTAAGATGTTGGAATTTCTTTCTAACACTAAAACTCAAAAATAACATACTCAAAAACTATTTTTATAATAATGAGATAAATAAACTTAAAAAAATTATTTGAGATAAACTTTTTAAGATATTTCATCAATGTATATTGTTTACGGAAGAGAAAAAACTATATATGATAGCAAACTTAATAATAAACTCAAAAGAAAACAAAAATAACTAACTTTACAATATTTAATTATATTTTATCTAATACTATTTGATTAAATCCTCAACTTCTCATAAGTACCTCTCACCACAATTTCTTTTATTAAGGGTTGATTGTAAATCCACACAATAAGTGTTGTACACTTATTTTTTTATTAATATATTAAAAAAATAAACACTAAATTCCTTCAAATATTTTGTTTTACGGTCAAATAAATTTATGGCCATTTAAAATTTTAAAGTCTTAGTTTAAAAAGTAACCTTTTTAAATTGATATTTACTTATGAATTTATGAATTTAAGGAAGGGCGTGTTAAATAAATTATAATGAAGTAACAACTAAGTTTGGCGTGTTAAACAAAGGGATTATTTATTTTGTCATTATTTTTTATGTAATGAATTGTACAATAATATTTATGTTTTAGTAGTGATGTATTCTCAATAAATTAGCATTACATTAATAAAATAAATATACTATTACGAATATCCTTTTGTTTTCTTCATGCTTAATTTTTTAAGATTCAAACAAATATGTTAAATATTGTCTATAGGTTAAATTATTTAATTTTATAAATATTTCCAAAACAAAATTTAAATTTAGGATATTGTTTCCAACTTAACTAAATTATTGTTATTTATATGTATTAATTAAATTTTTATCTCTTATATAATTAAGACAAAAAGGTAGTACTTTCATTATTTGGTAACTTTCATTTAACCAGTTTTATATGTACACATATGATCATGTACTGTTAACATGTGATCTAGTAATTTATATAACAGTATTAATTCTGTGTTGAATTATATCTTTTGATTTTATGATATTGCATCTTGTAAGTGGCATTTAAGTTAACTAAAGCAAAACTATCAAACAATTTTATACTTTAAGTTAGAAGAATCCAGAACCTAATAATTAAAATGATTGATAATTAGTACAAATACATTAGGGTCAACAAATTAAAAAAAAAAAAAAAAGCGGGCAACGAATCAACTAAATAAACGAACAAAACGGTCAGGAAACTCAAATATAATCTTTATAACAATCTTGGATCGTTTGTGTATCATAGCATTGTCATTAGCATTCCTTTTCTTTGCTAGTCTTTTGTGTTGCTTGTTGGTGGTTGGTGATAGATAGAAAAGAGAAACCAGAAAGAAAGGAGAGAGAGAAGAAGCCATAGAACGATGGTGAGAGCTTGTGTGCTACAAGGTTTCAATTCTGAAGAAGGTGGAAAGTCCACAAAGGATGTGGCAGCTGAGGGCGCCAACTTGGTTTTCTCCACTGTTGGCTTCTCCCTGAAAGCCACCATCACTCATTGGGAGCAATAGTAGCCGTCGTCCTCCCCGCTGATGCTTTCGACAGCTACCACGGTGTCTGCACCGTCTCCTTTACCGTAGACCTCCACTGCATGTCCCGGATCTTTCAAAAATGTAACTACTAACATTAAAGTTATCAAAACTAAAACTATTAAAACAAAACTAAAACTTTAATAATAAAAAACTTATCTTACATAGTTTTCAAGCAAAATACTAATGTTATCGTGAATCAAACTTCATAGTTTAAGTAGATAGGTTGTTTACTCTTGTCTTATCTTCTTTATTGTGTCATATGTTATAGGTGATAAATTTTTGAACTACTGAAAAAATAACACTATTTGATTATGTATGAATATTAATGATGTTTGATGTGATTAAAAATGGTTTTTATATTAGATTTTTTAATGTTTTAAATACTATAGGATCAGACCCCAATAATCTGACCTATATTACGTCCCAGATATTATAGGATGTAGTAAAATGACCTTTAAGCTGAATTTTTTAATGTTTTAAATATCATTAGAAATCAGTGTCCCAATAGTTTGACATCTATTGGAGATATGATGTCATCCCCATTGAATTCGAGGTCAAACTTTTTATTTAATTTACAAAAGATGACCTTTAAAGTTATTTTTTGTAGGTTGATGTTGAATAGAAGACATTATAAACTCATTTTGTATTATTGAATACTAAATTAATAAAAATAACATCACATTATAATATATATAAATGAGGTGTTATCTTAATTAACATTGACCGATCTTCAAGAACAATTTTAGAAGAATCAAAATAGTACATTCAAAATTTATATATTTAATTAATATTACTAATACAATAAAAATAAGTATATTATTAACTACAAAAAAATTATACATATATAAAAGACTCTTCTCCACATTTTTGAACTCATTAATAAATGAATTAGAACTAAATTTTTTCTACAATTTCTTTTTCAATGTAAATAACCATATTATCGAAAAAAAATTCATCTTCCCTTTTATTCCGCAACCTTATTTTGATAATCTTGATTTTAAAAAATAATATTTCTATTGTAGGTATATAAACAAGAAGAGTTAAAATAAGATAACGACTAATCATATTCTAAAGTATTAATATGAAACTCATCACATGTAATTCTTTTAACCTCTTTAAGAAAGGGTTCCTCTTGAACAATTAGATATTAGTATCATGCCTCAAGATATATGAAGAAGTTGATATTGTTTTATTTTTATTTTTCATATATGTAGCTTTCCTTTTATCACTTTTAAAAAATGAATCTATTATTTTATTCTTCATTAATATATACTTTTTTTAAGAAAAAAACAAAGTTTAAGACTAAAAAATAATTTATCATAATCTAATAAAAAATTGAGAGAGATAATAATTAAAAGAAAAATTCTTGATAATCAAGCTAGAATTAAAAACGATTATGAAAAAACATATAGTACATAATTTTCTTTTCGTTCTTTGTTCATAAAAAAACTATATGGTTTTATTAGTTATATATAATACAGTCTTCGAAACCTCATCATCTTCAGCTCCTTTCTAATCCACAACCAAATTGTCCACACTCAAAAATTAAACATTATTTCCTAAAGAAAATCAAGTGATCTCTAGAAGGAACTGTAACAAGATGTTCATGTTGTATGTATTGCTTGATAATTCTTAAATTGATCAGGTTACTTAAAATTGAAGTAATTTGAACGCATATAAAAAAGATTAAGTGGGTTTCTTATATGAAAAGCATTCGAGATGCTTTTAAGAAAAATTGTAGATAACCTGTTTGGTATCCATTTAATTCAAGAATTGACCTGGTTTAATGTTTCATGAATTTAAAGAAAGAATTAAACTGTTTCTAGTTTCAAGCAAAAAGATAAAAGATAAAAGATAAAAGATAAGGGGGAAAATATTTATCAAACCATGCTTCAAGAAGTACAGAACAACGACATAACACTCATTCATAGAAGAATTGCAAATCAGACTAAATGTATGTCTAAGAAGAAACATAAAATGCATCAAAGTAAAGTGTTTGCCAATCATAAAAAGTCGAAACATTTTGTGGGAGCATCAAAAAAGTTATTAAGACTTATAAGTTGTTTCTTCATATTGTGTAGTTCTTGAGTTAAATGATGGTGTCTCTTAAGAAGCTCGCCCATTTGTGCCCTTGCATGCTCCAACTTAGGATCCCTTCCCACAACACGTTGACGCATTTCATCAACCCACGACTTTTCAAATCCAAGTTGAACAACTTCATCACATAGTTTAAGGAACTCCTTTTCTCTCTCAGGATTAACACTACCAACACTTTCACTTCGAAGGAACAACAACATATCTGCCAATGTTTTCAACATAAAAGCTCGAAAGCGATCAGTGAACTTCTCACAAGCATTCCAAAGATGAGGATATGCTTCTATCGCCTCCACTAGCAGAGAAATTTGTGAATCATTCAGATCAACCAAGTGCTTATACTTTTCCAATCTTGTACGAGTATCTATAGAAGCTCTAAAATATTAGAGGAGTAGTCTAACATATAAATATAGGAAGGAAAGGAGACAAGAAAAGAGCAATAACCTGGAGTAACCACAACGTTATTATTAGAAACAATTCCTATTTCCTCTGTTTTATTCAACAAGTTCACCCCTGCTTGGATTTTGATATTTTTGTATGGTGCTATTTCTGTCTTGTCTTCATTCATCACATTATCTTGTTTAACAGCCTGGGAATCTTGTGGAAGTATATTTGCACCGCTTGAGTTGTGAATTGTAACACCACTAACCAAGCTAATGTTATCTCCACCAATTGGCAAGGTTTTAATTGTAGCTCCCTCTGTTGCAGCTCCACCGTTGCTCCTTTCTCTTCCTATTTCCTCAATATTCTATTCATCACCAATGGAAAAGTAATGTTTGTGTATATTTGAACTTATAACTTCTAAAAACATTTGTTTCATAATGTACATCATGTGTTGGTACCTCAATATTCTTTAACCATGTTTACAAGTATTTTTATGCAAGAGTTACAATACAAGTTTGAGACGAACTTCTTACCTCTAAAACATAAGTTGGAATTGCAAGTTTATCTGATGTCGTAGTTTTTCTAATGTTGTTTGCCTCTGTTTCATCAGTACGCTTTACATGCACAAAGTTATGTTGATTAGTTGGTAAGTCAAGTTTCGTTTTGTGCTTGTTTAAATTTCTTCCATTATGTATCATTTTCAGAAGATTAAAAGAAAATATGTAAATACCTGAGTCACGTTTGGAGAAGAAATGACTGGAAAGTTTTGCTCCATAGCTTGTGGGTCTGATGTCATTTCACTTTTTCTGTCTATTTTTTGGAGCTCTTCTATTTCCGACTCTAGTGTTTTGGTTTCAATTTTGTTATGTTGACCTACCATTTTAACTCTGCTCTCCAACATAGATTGATTGTTATCATTGACTTGTGAAGAACATGGTTGAATTTCAGATGTAGATGGATCTTCACGGTTCATTTGAAGGGGAGAAGTGTTTTTTGGAGTAGGATCCATTTCCTGCTGAAAACAATTCATCATAAAAAGCTAGGATACTTTTTTGTGATAGATAGCCTCTGGAATAATTTATTTCCTTGGGTTGTTATTTATTAACCATTCATTTCTAGTAAATTATTTAGAAAAATGAGCATATTTAGTTTGTGTAAGGTTACTTACCTGAGACGTTTTGATGGTACTTTGAGTTTGTCCAAATTGATTTTGTTGGTCTGTGAAGTGTGATCCAGTGGTTGATTTTGCATCGACCAACTCCTATATGAAGTGATGAATATTAAGTGATTTTCCATTCACTCACTCAAATATTTAGAAGAGCTTAAAGTACAATTACCTGTGAATATGTTTCACAATTAGACTTTCCATCCACCTCTGAATTTATTGAAGTTGCAGGAGCCACTTCCTTTGAACCATAATCTTTCTCGATAAATTTCTTATCTGATTCTTCTTTAATCTAATCAACGATAAAGTATATAGAAAAGGAGCATCTCAATAAGTCAGTTTTTTTTAGAATAATAATAGATATAAATGAAAAGACTGTTTTTCAATTAATGAATTGAGTCTCAAAAAAATAAGATGAAGTTTGTCAAATTTTAGTGAAGCAAGTGATGGTGTGTACTATAGTTTAATGTCATTATTGTTATGATTGACAACTCAGTAGGCTAAGTTGGATAGGTTGATTAGTTCTGACCTGTGAAGAAGGCAACTCAGTAGAATTGTTGTTTGTAGAAACTTCATCTAATTTCTTTATTTCATACATTAGTTGCGAAATAACCCCATGATAAATTTCAGAGTTTCCCAAACCTGTAGTTCAAGTGTATAGTTAAGGACTTCGTTTAACAATGAAACGCAAACAGAAAATATTTCTATATAAAGTTTCCATCGTAACATGTAATGTTTGTAACAACATATCCATGCATAGTACTTACCTTCCAAATGAAGATTTTGTTGGAGTTCTTGAGAAGTAGTTGTTGAAGTCAAAGAGAGTTTTGGACAATTGCGGATAATGCGATGCTTCACATTTGAAAATATAGTCTCTTGGTGAAAATTTGAAAGATGCATAAATATTATAACTTTCAATTGTGGAAGTTGAACTTTGGTCTTCCCAGTCTCATCGTATTCGCATGCAATAAACTCTTGTAGTTCAGTGGCTTCCTTTATGATTAGAATCTTCAAGTTGGAAAGATCATTGGATGCAGATACAGAGGTGAAACTTTTCAACTTATGGCATTCTTCAATAAACAATGATTCTAGTTTGGGGAAGCATGGTTGAATAAACCTTTTATCCTCCAAATCCTCTTCAATTATCTGTCTTAATTCCTCGCATTCACTTACTTTTAGATAATTCAACTCTGGTAAGGATTGCAGCATAGATTGAGGAAATATTACTTCCAATTTTTCACACTCTCGTATTATTAATGAGTTGAGATGCTGGAGAGTAAATGAGTTATTGGTAGTCACCCAAATACGAGTCATTTTAGGTAGACCAAACAACTTCAAATCTTCTAACTTTAAACTGACTTGTTGTCCCATCATCCAATCTCCATTGTTGGCATTGCTCATGCTTAGAGTTTGATGAGTGGGAAAGTGGTTCTGAATATTCACTATGCCCCCAACAAAAGGCATTACGAATATATCTTGCAATGAGTCACATCTCCAAATATTTACCCTTTTCAAACTTGAGAACATTGAAAGATCACTCTTGAATTCATGCTTATCTTCAACCATGTTTTCCTTTTTATTTCTTTTCACTCTTTCAGGAGTTACTATATGTTTCAAGCCATAACAGAATGATATCCTCAATTCTTCTAATGAAGTCAAGGTCTTAGCTACAGATGTCGTGAACAATGAGTCCAACATTGGACATGAATATATCTCAAGATATGTCAGGCTAGACAGAGAAAACGATCCTGAAAATCAATTATAAATAAAAATGTTAATAAATTAAGAATCCATTCTTATTTTCAATACATTGATCTCGATGAACTAAAACCACAAACTCAAACATCCAATAATCAACTCATAATGATGAAAAATAATTATCCCATACAATTTTATTATCTCACTTCACATTTTCATCATCCTATTACTTTTTTAATCTCTATATTTACACCAACTTCTTCTTAATTTTAGTTCCTATCTCTAAAATTGTATCATTTTTCATATGTAAAATTGTATCTTTTTTCAGATGTAAAGATTGTTAGTTATTTTAACGTGTTAATAAACAGTCCTATTTTATAGGATTGAGTGGGTCAAATTAGTGACTTAGTTTTCGCCTAAACTAGTGGCATCAGTTTCATGATTTTTTGTTCTGTTATTATTCTGTTTTGTCCAGAGTCTCTGTAAAGCTTTTATAAAAGCTTCTTTCGTATGGCTGAATAAGAGATGCAATCTTTTCACATATTCACTGTGCCATCTGTGTTTATTAAAACTTAACAATTGGTATCAGAGCTCCGCAAGGGGCCTGATCCAAGGAGAGTAAAGAGAGCATCCAGATCTAGAGTGCAACGCTGATACAGTGAGTGTAAAGTCATGACTACTTCAGAGAAATATGTTCAACCAGCCATTCCAAGGTTTGATGGACATTATGATTTTTGGTCCATGACTATGGAAACTTTTCTACGTAGCAAAGAACTATGGCAGCTAGTGGAGAGTGGAATACCAACACTTGGTGCAACACCCACTGAGGCGAAAAGGAAGAATGTCGCTGAGGCACAACTAAAGGATCTGAAGGTGAAGAATTTTTTGTTTCAAGCTATTGATCGAGAAATTCTCGAAACAATGTTGGACAAAAGCACATCACAAAAAATCTGGAGATCAATGCAGCAAAAATATCAGGGATCAACGAGGGTCAAACGTGCTCAACTTCAAGCACTTCGACGTGAGTTTGAACTACTGGCGATGAAGGACGGCGAGAAGATTGACAGTTACCTTGGGCGCACACTCACTGTTGTTAACAAAATGAAATCTAATGGTGAAGTAATGGATTCCAGCACAGTGGTTAGCAAGATACTCAGATCTTTAACCCCAAACTTCAACTATGTAGTATGTTCTATCGAGGAGTCCAATGACTTGAATACTCTGAGTCTTGATGATCTTCATGGCAGCCTGCTCGTTCATGAACAACGAATGCAGAATTTTCAACCAGAAGAACAAGTCTTGAAAGTTACACATGATGATAAAGCGGGAACAGGTCGTGGTCGTGGACGCAGTTCCCGTGGGCGTGGGAGAGGCCGTGGAAGACAGCCTTTCAACAAGGCACTAATTGAATGTTTTCAATGCCATAAGCTAGGACATTTTCAGTATGAGTGCCCTAGTGTTGAGAAACAAACTCATTATACAATGTTTGAAGAAGTCGAAGCTGAGGAAGAGATTCTGTTGGTCGCATATGAAGAGGTGACACATTCTGTTCAAATGGAGGATTGGTTTTTGGATTCTGGTTGCAGTAACCANGATAAAAGATAAAAGATAAAAGATAAGGGGGAAAATATTTATCAAACCATGCTTCAAGAAGTACAGAACAACGACATAACACTCATTCATAGAAGAATTGCAAATCAGACTAAATGTATGTCTAAGAAGAAACATAAAATGCATCAAAGTAAAGTGTTTGCCAATCATAAAAAGTCGAAACATTTTGTGGGAGCATCAAAAAAGTTATTAAGACTTATAAGTTGTTTCTTCATATTGTGTAGTTCTTGAGTTAAATGATGGTGTCTCTTAAGAAGCTCGCCCATTTGTGCCCTTGCATGCTCCAACTTAGGATCCCTTCCCACAACACGTTGACGCATTTCATCAACCCACGACTTTTCAAATCCAAGTTGAACAACTTCATCACATAGTTTAAGGAACTCCTTTTCTCTCTCAAGATTAAAACTACCAACACTTTCACTTCGAAGGAACAACAACATATCTGCCAATGTTTTCAACATAAAAGCTCGAAAGCGATCAGTGAACTTCTCACAAGCATTCCAAAGATGAGGATATGCTTCTATCGCCTCCACTAGCAGAGAAATTTGTGAATCATTCAGATCAACCAAGTGCTTATACTTTTCCAATCTTGTACGAGTATCTATAGAAGCTCTAAAATATTAGAGGAGTAGTCTAACATATAAATATAGGAAGGAAAGGAGACAAGAAAAGAGCAATAACCTGGAGTAACCACAACGTTATTATTAGAAACAATTCCTATTTCCTCTGTTTTATTCAACAAGTTCACCCCTGCTTGGATTTTGATATTTTTGTATGGTGCTATTTCTGTCTTGTCTTCATTCATCACATTATCTTGTTTAACAGCCTGGGAATCTTGTGGAAGTATATTTGCACCGCTTGAGTTGTGAATTGTAACACCACTAACCAAGCTAATGTTATCTCCACCAATTGGCAAGGTTTTAATTGTAGCTCCCTCTGTTGCAGCTCCACCGTTGCTCCTTTCTCTTCCTATTTCCTCAATATTCTATTCATCACCAATGGAAAAGTAATGTTTGTGTATATTTGAACTTATAACTTCTAAAAACATTTGTTTCATAATGTACATCATGTGTTGGTACCTCAATATTCTTTAACCATGTTTACAAGTATTTTTATGCAAGAGTTACAATACAAGTTTGAGACGAACTTCTTACCTCTAAAACATAAGTTGGAATTGCAAGTTTATCTGATGTCGTAGTTTTTCTAATGTTGTTTGCCTCTGTTTCATCAGTACGCTTTACATGCACAAAGTTATGTTGATTAGTTGGTAAGTCAAGTTTCGTTTTGTGCTTGTTTAAATTTCTTCCATTATGTATCATTTTCAGAAGATTAAAAGAAAATATGTAAATACCTGAGTCACGTTTGGAGAAGAAATGACTGGAAAGTTTTGCTCCATAGCTTGTGGGTCTGATGTCATTTCACTTTTTCTGTCTATTTTTTGGAGCTCTTCTATTTCCGACTCTAGTGTTTTGGTTTCAATTTTGTTATGTTGACCTACCATTTTAACTCTGCTCTCCAACATAGATTG